CCTGTTCAGCTGCTGCCTGTGTTATTGAATAATTTCATTAAATATAAGCTTTAGAGTCCTATGAAATGTGATTTTAATGATCAAGAAATAGTTTTCAGTAGCAACTGTTACTTTTAGTGGCCTGGTTTCCCTAAATGAAATTTTGGTGGAGCAGAATCTTCAGTGATGTCTCCACTGTGGACAGAGATTGTGGTCTGAGTGCACAAACACATAATTTTCCCATGGTATACTCTCCTTGTAAAATGATTATATCTGCAGTTTAACAGGGACCACATCAGCCTGTTAAATGGATACTCTGCAACTGGTACAGCACGTATTTTTTTCACTGCCTCCTACCTGTGCTCACTAATTGGCACCTTTTTGTCATGCTGTATTGAACCAGACTAATTTGTGTTATGTATCTCTACTTAAACATGCAGATATTTTAATGAAAATAATTTTTCATTTTGGATTTGCCTCTTTTAATCTGGTTGTACATGGGACTGAATGTTTGTCGCAGAGGTTTATTAAAACAATGGCATTATATTAGCTTTTTGAAGACTGAAGGGATAAACCCTGACTCCTAAAATCCACCTCTCAGTCACTTATGGAGCTTCCAAAAAGAACTAGCAGACTGTAGAGGAATAATAACCCTGGAAAAGCATTCTGGAAATTAGAGCATTTCCTGTTTCTCTGGGTGTTTTTTATAGAGAGGTTTGCTATAATGCTTTTATTATTACAACAAACCTTTGTCCCAAGTGAACCTTGCTAGTCAATTACAATGGTTTTAAATTCTTCTCCTAGAAGAATTCTTGATAATAAGACAGTATCTCATTTACTGTATTGATTCATGTAAATAAACAAGAACCTCTGCACGGTTACTGCTTGCAGTGGCTTTTCTTGATTTGCCATCATTTTTCTGTGCTATTGATTCAACTGCGGTTTTAATAATAATAATTACAATTGTTTCTCTTTTCAAGAACGACACCAGCAGTGCTTTTCTGGCAGTGGATCAACCAGTCCTTCAATGCTGTAGTAAATTACACCAACAGGAGCGGGGATGCCCCAATCACTGTCAGGTCAGACACTGAACCATAATTCTGATGAGTTTACAAATTGCTCTCTGATGTACTCGAACATGGTTGGGCATTAAAGTTTGAGGTGAGAGAAGGCTAAGTTTTCCCATCTATACTCATTATTAATTTGATATGCACCAATGAGAATTCTGAGAATGACAAAGGCAAGAACTCCATTTCTACCATTAAAGGCAAACCCCCGAGCACCTTGATCATGAGCTCTTAACAGTGTAGGATTTAGCAGGAGTCTGTGTTGTAGGGCTCAGACAACCATTTGCAAGTGCCTCATCAGTTTGGTGTCATACCAGCATATTTCTAAGCTGATATTTTGGACCTTTAGGTGTGTCACTGTGCCACCTTCTCAGTGCACAGCACACACCACACTGGAGGCTTATTTACAAAAAGAGGTTCCTGCAAGGAAGTGGTCTGTGCTTCTTTCTGTGTGATGCCAAAAAGAGAGACTAAATAGATGCAGAAAGCTAGAAATCTCAAGCTGAAAAAGGAGAAATCAAACTGAAAGAGGGGAAATTTAGGTTAGATATCCAGAAGAAATTCTTCCCTATGAGGGTGGTGAGGCACTGGAACAGGTTGCCCATAGAAATTGTGGATGCTCCATCTCTAGATGTGTTCAAGGTCAGGTTGGATGGGGCTTGGAGCAACCTGGTTTAGTGGAAGGTGTCCCTGGCCATGGCATGGTAGTAGAACAAGATGTACTTTAAGGTCCTTCCAACCCAAACCATTCTGTGATTCTATGAATAGAAAACTGGAATTGCAGTGCTTGACTTTCTGGTTTTGGGGCTGACTTGCTTAATGATGGCCAGGAGAAAGCCATGGATTCAAGCATTTACAGACACCTCCTAACTGGGAAGTATGTACAGTGTGGTTTAGAGCAGTGTTTGCAGCTTAGCTGTCTGAATGTATGGGGTTTGGTGTGGTTTATTTTAATTACTATTCTAGACCTAGCCTTAGAAATCCAAACTGATTTTATTAGGTTAAGCAATTGGGAAATTAAATAGAGAACTAATCCTTCAAGGTGTTCATTTAGACACATGGAAAAATGCTGAACAGGCACAACCAGCAGAACCTGATTCAATATTACAATGCTGCTTGATAGATGACTTTACTGCTAGTGAAATAAAATGGTTTAATTTAGGGTCCTTTTAGATCTTCCCTCCACATCTTATTGCAGTAGCACAAAAAGGTCTACTTCTTAACTTCGGGGGGGCGTAACTACATGTGTGAAATGTAATTATTTTTAAAAGTGACATAAATGTAGCTGTGCATGTGCAAACATTTTAATTTCTCTTTTAGCCAGCTGGGAACAGCCTATGTTTCTGCCACCACCGGTGCTGTCGCAACAGCTTTAGGACTTAATGCACTAGCGAAGGTATTGCTGTATTTTTTTCCATTCTCACTAGGCTGTGGTGCTCTGTGAGATGCTTGCAGCTCATTTCTGCTCTGGTGTATCTGTGTCATGTGAACAGCTCCCACTATGGAGTTCTGATGGCCTTTGGCAGCTCCTTTCTCTACATCACAACCTTATTTTTTCCCCATGTAGAAGGTTTTATATATGTTTTTCAAACAGCCTGCACTCCCATATGTCAGACAGCCTTGTGTTTGGTTAATGCAAACTGTATCTAATAAGGTGCCTTTTTTGCAGTTTCTTTTTCACGTTAAAGGCATTTAATAGTACTTGCAAGTTAATTGGAGTGGAGATGTAATTACACTTCCCCGTGATGCTACTAAATTCAGAATGATTTCGCCACCCTCCTGCCACTGCTCACTCCTGAGAGAAGCATTTGTGACTTATTTCATGTTTATTGTTTTTCTACCTCTGCCCCACCAATGAGTTTTCACTGAATTTTAATGTAAAGGAAGTAGGTCTGGTCTGTGATTATCAGATGAAGCATTTGAATATGACCTTTGGGAAAGCCAGTGATTATGTAAATTTTTTCTTTTCCTTTTCCCCCCCTCTGTGTGTTTTACAGCGCGTCTCACCTCTTATAGGACGGTTTGTTCCTTTTGCTGCTGTTGCTTCTGCAAACTGCATTAATATTCCACTAATGAGACAAAGGTAGGAAAAAGAACAAAGATCACTCATGCTGGAAGAAAGGATGTTACTGAGTTTGTAGATCAGCAAGTTATTAAGTAAGGGACATTCTATATCTTTAGCTTGTTTCAGACCTTGCAAAAACCTCATGCAGGATCTTGTTTTGACTGATTGTTTGTGGCAGGTATAAAATAGAATATCCTCATTCTCTTCAGTCTTGGATCTCAGAAGCCACTTGATCTACTTGGATCCTGGAGTACAGACTCCACTTTGAAAGAATACAGTAATTTGAAAAATGGTGCTTCAAATCCCACATGCAGAACTTAATCATAGAACTGCTCTGCAGTTCTGTTCGATCATCTGAGATTACAAAAATATGCAGTTTGTCAGAAACAAGCTTTCATGTGTTCTGATTTGACATGGAGTAAGAATAGTAGTAGGGAAAAACAAATTAAAAGCATCCTCTTAACACAAGGTTAAAAAAGGAAATATTTAACTTTTGTATTTACAGTGGAATTTGATCCTTGGTACTATTTTATCTTTTATAAAATATGAAGAGAAGAATAAAGGCAGTCAGGATACCTGCAGTGCTCTCTGCTTCTCCCAGTATGAGTTTAACACCTAACCCTGCTCTTGAGCAAAAGACCTAATAGAGAATAATGCAGCTACAGAAATGTAGTTTGTGCATCATTTTATACTTGCAAATATATTCTTAGTGGTTGAAATGAAAACTCAGACTCTAGAACGCCAGAGGGGAATTTTCACATAGACAGTGAAACTAATCTTCTGTATTCCATGAGCTGTCTGTTGGAAACAACTGATAAGGCAATCCAGAATATTCCATTTCCAATGTGCTCTTTGAAGGAACTTTTCCTTTCTGAGTGCTACAGAGTAAAACACATCTCCTTTCTCCCTTTCTTGGAAGTGTGACCAGGTTCAAGCAGCAGATTGTTGTTACAAATATTCAGTTGATAACTTTCCAGCATATTTTTCCCCAGATTTTTCTCTTTTGAAATTTTTTGTGCTGAAGAGTGTTACAAACAGGCTTAGAAAATAAAATAAAACAAAACACATCAGTCTTATAATTGACAATTTGAAGGGACAAAAGGTGACAAAAAAGGGTGAATAAGTTCACCTCAAGCGCTGCTTTATTTTTACTCCTTATTCAACAGAGAAATCAAGTTTGGAATCCCCGTCACAGATGAGGATGGGAACAGAGTGGGTGAATCATCCAAAGCAGCTCAGCAGGCAATCACCCAGGTGGTTATCTCAAGGATTCTTATGGCTGCTCCTGGAATGGGTAAGAATAACTGCAGTCCTGTGCAGCTCCTGTTTGTCAGTTCCTAATGTGAGAGAGAGCTTCGGTCCCAAGTGATTTTTCTCAGAGGCCAGATTGCCTCACAGTTCCTCAGGCAGTGTTTGCCTTTCTGGTAAGAAGTTCCCCAGAGAAATGTACATTTCTCACTGTGAAATCATCCAAAGTGTGTTACACTGAAGTGCAGCAGAAAAGCTCCTGGGATGCTTTTGCAGAAATAATACAGATAGCAAAGGAATGGTAGCAAATTTTACTTGCTTGGAATTGGTTTAGTGCTCTTGTCCAGTGCTGAGTTACTGAGCTCAGGTTTAGTTACATATGCAATTAAAAGTTTTGCTTATTGGGAGAATTTAACTCTGTAAATACCAGTTCTGTATCTTGAACTGGCAATGTGCAACAAAAACTCAATGAATGACAAAAGGCTGTGAAAATTGTGTTAAGGTGTTAGTTCGGCTAAACAGAAAATGAAAACAAAGTGCTTTTTTCTCCAAGGTTAATGCATTTTTTATCTTACTTGCAGCAATTCCTCCCTTCATAATGAATACATTGGAAAAAAGAGCCTTTTTAAAGGTTAGTCTTACATAATCTTATGTATGTCAGATCCTAAGCTAATATTTTAATGAATATAAAATACTTCCTGAGGCTTCTTATTTGCCTCCCAAACACTGTGGGAGCACATCCCTGTAAAACTTGCTTTACAGCTGTCACTTGCTTTCTGCCTTTCTCAGGGATAGCTTGGTTCTTTTTATCACAGTGTAAAATGACATTCAGAAAATAGGAACTTTTTTGTTGTTATTTTCATGATTGTTCTTAAAATGCACAGTTTTTCCTATGAAATCTACCTTCCTTATACTCAGTCTTGGAATAGAGTTTATGGGGGAAAAGTGTGAACATTTTAATAATGCTGTTTTTTTCAGGAGAGCAGTAAGGAGGCTTTGCTTAGCTGCTGTAGTAGCAATCTGAGGTGGGAAACAAGAACTCTCTTTTGAAAAAAATTCTTTTGAAAATCATCCCTTAAAATTTACTGGATTTAATGTGCAGTATAGGCATAGAATGGCCATTCTTCATCAAAGATTACTTATTTCCTCTATTCTGTTTATGCTAATGTAGGGTGAAGCCAAACCCCTGGTGTGAGTAAATCCATAACCTGCATCAACATTATGCACTCTGTGTGCATGAGAGGGTAAAGAGCAATAATGAAATGAGTCTTAGGGTTGTCTACTACAAGAGAAATAATATTCAGATGAGGAGGTCTTTCATTTTTTTACCTGTAAAGGGAGTTTCATATTCACCAGCTGATATCACTGATTTAATTATTGCGTAGCTCCAGGCAAAGTCTCTGCCTGTGAAATCCACCTAACAAGCTTAAGAGAATCTTATCTCCTTCCTATTAGAAAAAGTCTGAAAAGAAAGCATGATCTGAATCTTCAGACCCTCCCTTGGAAAAGTGTGTGGGGACTGGGAGGACAAGCAGGTGGAGTTGCCTGTTTTGTTTGTCTAAAGTGTGTAAATTATACCTCTTACTATTTCTGTGCTTCCTTTTACCTGTGCAGTGAGATTACATAGTTAGGCACACCATTTTAAAGTGCTTCTGTAGATATAAAAGAGGAACAGGTTGCCCAGGGAAGCTGTGGCTGCCCCATCCCTGGAAGTGTTCAAGGCCAGGTTGGACAGGGCTTGGAGCAACCTGGTATGGTGGAAGGTGTCCATCAATTTATGCTATCAGTTCAGCTGGCAAACACGTAACATTGTGAAGAAGTTGCAGCAATCCTCAGGGTTTGGAGGCAAATATCTGTTGTTTTTGTGTGGTATAATCAATATAAGGGTGTTGTGAATTTTTCAGATCAGCAAAAATGAGCGATTTCTTCAGTGACTACTCAGTGGTCTTTGGTACCATCATGACCGTTTATGCTCACCTGTTCCTCTCCCTCAGCCTGAGAGACTGTGAGTTCAGGTGAAACACTGCTCTGCAGGTAGTCAGTGGTAACACTTGGTAGAGATTAGTATTAAACCACTAAGGAACGAGCTGTACTTTTAACAAACAGCTACTGCATGTCCTCTTGAGGTTCCAGAAGCACCATCCCATTCACAGCACTCCAACACCATCCCTGCAATGCTTTTCTAACTCACTGTCCTTGGCCTTTGCTTTGCACACTACCACCCTTGGAAATAATTCCTGAATGCTTGCCAAAGCCTTTTAAGCAACACACAAGGCCAGAAAATAGGCAAATGGTTGTGAAATGATAAAAAAAAATAAAACGATGGTCTGCAGTCAGACTGAAGGAAATGTTCCTTGAATGCTGGTCTGTAATAGCAGCCTGTCATCCTCTGATATTTGAAATGAGATGTAGGTCATGTAGCACTATTCATCCCCCCACATCCCCCAGTGTTTTGCACTAAGACATCGGTGTGAATTAACAGTATTCCCAAAAGTTATTGCTAGAAAATGAATCAAGAATGGTTTTAGAACACAAGCACATACTTACAGCTTCAAAAAGCATCTAATTATTTCTGACTTGAAAAAGTGTTTTTATATGTACATCTGATTTTGCTGTGGGTTTCAGCAGCAGCTTTGGGGCCCTTTTAGGTGATTATGCAGTGTTCTAGTAATTGATTAAGCTGCATAATGTCTGGTTTCATTATCCCTACTGACATACACACCTGACTAGCTCTTTGTAAAACCAAGGTATTTTACCTGCTGCAGCAGGAGGATCCATAAACAACCTTGCTCTGAGGCACAGCATTTACTGACTTTACTTACAAGTCACTTTTCTCCTAAGGAAAGAAATTGGGTTTTTCCATAAAAATTTACGAAAACTCAAACACTAAAGTTTTAGCTTGTATTATTACTCTTGCAGCTCCAGCTTCAGTTTCTCTCCTGTTTTGCATACTGTATTAACATGCAAGTTTTTCCAGAAATTTCCTCATATATCTTTAAAACAAGTTCTTTGGGGTCTCTCAGTCTGCAACTGAAATCTGTGTTCAAAACTGGTAAAAACCAGAACAGAGAGCTTTTTTTTTCAAGCATTGTTCTTGAATGTCTTATGCCCTGCAGTCTTCCCTACATTCCTAATTTCACTGTCATTTCATTTAGTTGTTTTTTTTTAAAACAGGCAGAGCTGGCCTGGGAAAGCTGGCAGATTTTTAGATCCAACAATGAAAGGAAGCAGTTAGAAAAAAGATGATTCTCTTTAAAGCTTTTGTTTGCTTAATTATCATTTCTCCATTTTCTCTGTTTGCACTAACCACTAAAATGTCATAAAGACATCTGGAAATCAGATCCTGATTCATTTGGAACTGCCTTCTTCCAGAGTTAATGGATAGTTCTCTAACACAGTCAATTCTTCTGCTGTCTGTCGTGTGCTTCTCCATTTTATCTCTTTGTAGGGGTGTGCAGCCTGCATTTGAGTTTTGTTTTATTGCTTTGTTTCCTGGGCAACTCCAGTTCTTAATATTGACCTCTCACAGTGTTAAGAGTTTTTCCTCACCATCTTTCTTGATTAGCGCAGTCTGGTAACATTCTGGAAGAAGCAAGGCTGTAACTCAGATCAAGTTGGCAAAAACTGTTCCAGCATGGGAACTAGATGTTGTTTATAGAGTCTGTACGAGACAACACCTCTTTCAGATCAATGACCAACTCTGGCAAAGGCATGAGGCCATCTATTCCTCTTATGGCACCTTCCAGGAGCCTTTTCAGTTATACAATTATATTTGGGGCTTTTCTGTTATGTGTTTTAGGTCCCACATTCCCACTGCAATGTGCAGCATCCCTCTCCCTTCCTTCTCAGAGACAGAAGTCTTTTGCAGTAGAGAGTTTGTGTTCACATCTCTTGTCACGGGCTCTCCCGATGTATAAAATGTAAAGAATTTTGGGTGAATTTATCTCATCTGAGAGTCAAATGAAGGTGTTTAGGGAATGCCAGAACAGCAAAGCTCTGCTGCCTTCACTCTTCACCCTTCCTGCTGTTCCTGTCTGTTCCCATTTGTTATCTGTTGTTGCAGGTGATTGCTGAATTGCACAGTTCTTCCTGCACTCATTTCTGGATAACAGATTGACTCCAGGAAAAAAAATAAAGAGAAGCAGTCTCCTACATCATTTCTTCTCCCTCAGGTTCTGGAGAAAGTTTACTCCACACAGGCTTGTTTTCTCTGCCTTCTCCACTGCTGTGACCTTCCTCAGCCCTCAGCTTTGTCCTCCTGAGCTTTCTACATCTCCTTTGTCCATTTCTGTTCTCAACTAGTGCCCAGCTTTTGTTCCCCAGCTTCCCCTCTAACTTCTGTAGCTTGAGAAATGCTACTTGCAGAAACAAACATCTTCATTGAAAACATCATCCACTGCATCATGTGATTTTTAACTCATGAGCTGTTTTGTTTTAAAATCCCCTTTGTGTTTTCATGGCAGCTGTGTAAGTCCTGCTTTTGAGACACTGCTTTTAGTGTAGCAGCAGTGTCCATTGAACAGATCTGGGTTTACTTCACTAGTAATGGATTTCAACTAAAATTCTAACATGGGGGGGAGCGGGTTCTTAAATATTTTAAAAGCCTGCAAAAAAGCTCTATTTCTTGGCATATATTCAAGTTCTGCAAAAGTTATAGTAATGAAGATTATGCTAAAAAATGCATCCATAGGTTATTAGTTGCTTTCTCAGCTATGTTTCCCCGATCTTTCAGCCCTTTTTTCTTTCAATGAAAGGTGAACTCTTGCAGGACTGGAGTGTTGCTACAGGGACAACTTCCTACACATCAAAGGAAATCATATGACAGGACAAGACTGAGAGAGGCAGACTTACTTTTCTCCTTGACATCTCCCTTGTTTATGGGTGGTGGTTCCAGTTGCACATTAAAACCATTTGATGTCACCAAAGGAGCTGTAACCAGACCAAGCTCTTCCTTGGAATGCTTGGGCAAAATTCACTGAGCCCTTTAGAGATGTGGTAGCACCACACCAAATTTCAGCTGTCCTGCTACTGTGGGCTTGTGTGACTCAGAGAGAAAGCCCAGGGGCTCAGCATCACATCCTAAATCAATCAGGATCACAATGTATGTTGTTTCCACTGGGAATTTCCTTACTACTTTTCAAAAGGGATTTGGCTCTCAAACTGGAGCTCAGCTTTAAGGTACACTGCCTGTGGGTTTGTCTTCATGTCCAAGGGTCTTTTAGGTGCAAAATCTGTCTCTTAGAAAACAAGAATTCCAGAAAGGGGGAAGGGAGAAGATAAGATACCATACTCACTGTGTATGGTTTGTTTTCAACAGAGATATCCTTGGTTGAGTGCTCCCATTCAAGTTGGATTAGTTGGAGTCTGGTAAGTGATTTTTTTGGGTTGGGTCTGCTATTTTAAGAGATACTTGTAGGTTTTTTGAGAGAGTAGCAATATTTGCACTTTGTTCAAAGGAAAAAAGGTTGAGAGGGTTAATGAGGCTGCAGCAGTTACTTCACTTCCATCTCCGTAACTGATAATACCATGTTAAAAACAAAAAAACCATTAGAAAGGAAGAAGCTGCCAAGAAAAGCAGAGGGGGGGGAAAGGAGTGGCAAAAAAAGGCATGTGGCAGCTTGATTAGAAAAGGTGCTTTGGCTGCTACCTCCATAAAGTCAGTGGAATCTAATCCTGAAGGCTGATGAATTATTGAAAGATTTGGTTAATAGAGAGTTTAATTTGCTGTGTCTAGCACTATCTGGTGTCCTGCACACTACTGTAAAACACTGTAAGGACATCAAATGATACTTTTAGACACATTTGGAAGCATGGTATTGATAGATTTAGTACTGTGTAATTTTTGGTGAATTATTTAATAAGGTACAATGCAGAGAGAAGTAAACATAGCACTTTGTGGAATGTTACCTCACTGTGTACGAAAAAAACCAAACCGGAAAACTTTTTACCTAATCATGCATAAGGTTTTTGAATTCTCTTTTAGCACCCTAAATATTGTAATCCCATTTTTGTCTCCTCTAGTCTCGTGTTTGCAACTCCCCTGTGTTGTGCACTGTTTCCTCAGAAAAGGTGGGTATTGCTGTTATTATTTTCACTTTAATGTTACACTCCAGATCCGTGCACAGACAGAAGCAAAGGGTCAAGCATTGCCTGGTCAAGCACACAGTTTTATTTCCCATATAACAAAGGTGATAAACAAGAGAATATACAGAAAAGTAATACGTATGTTACTCATCAGTAATATATAATAGTTGTTTACAAACCCCTAGCAGCTCAAGATGAGATTTATACAATATATTCATGTCCAGGAAGGTTACGGATGCATTAAATACAGTAAGAGCCCATTTTATTTTCAGCTGGAAACTCTTCTAGTTATACAGAACAGCATTGGACTATCTGTGCTTATTTGTAATTTGATTAATATTTCTTAAGAAAGACTTTTTCATCAATACAAAAATAGTTCAGTACTGAAAACTGTCTTATAGTGAAAATTGTTTCTAGCTGAAATAATCATGAAGCCTGAATGAGTTATTTACAAATTAACTTAGCTCAATTTGGTATGTAGTATGGACAGGGCCTTAAATTCAGCTGAGCTGTCCCTCATATTAATAACAGTTGTCTAAACGGACTGCCAGATGTAGCTTAAACAATCCAAGCTGGAGCTGAATCCATTAAAAAAAGTACTGAACAACTAAGGTAGCTTTGACTTCCAGAAAACAATACCCAATTTTCATCAGATGCAATTGTTCGAGTACAACAGATCCGTCTGACACCATCTGTTTCCCTGCTTGGCCTAGGACAGAGAGCTGTGGTAAACAAGTGTCACTAGGCTACCTGGAGATGACTTGACAAACCAGCCTAGCACACGTGGTACAGGTCTTGATTTTAGCCAGGGCTCTTCAGTTCAGAGGAAGACCTTGAACTGTGTTCAGGAAATTGCAGCTATTCAAATGACCTGGCAGCTTAATTCACTTTACTGTGAACTGGTTCTCATAAAAGTAAACCTTTTATTGAACTGAATAAATCAGGTGGTAAGTTAAATAGGCAAATACATTATATTTAATAAAAACACCTTTAGGAAGGTAAGTTTCTCTTGCCAGCTACAAGTTAGTGGATCCCAACTCCATTTCCTGACTCCATAGACTGTCTTACTGCCATTTGACCAGGGATTCATTTGTCCCTAATCTAGTTTGCTTCCCTTATAAGACATTTAAAAAGATGTGAAAACTCTTTCACAGTCCAGGAAGTTTAACCAGATGCATCGTCCATCTTATTTTACACTCAAGTGCTTGCTTTATGTAACCATTTTCCTGTTTCTTTTGCTCAGTTCTATGGCGGTATCACGCTTGGAGCCAGCATTGCAAGCCCAGATCCGAGAGAACAGCCCTGGCCTAGAACGTGTATACTTTAATAAAGGATTATAATTCAAGGAAGGCAAAATATCTTTCAAGGAGGAACTTGTGAACTTATTTTTGAATTGTGTGCCAACCTAGTTGAAGATGACAACTCACCTTTAACTTGTCCGTTTGTTAAACAAGTTTGATCATCTGCGTTATTATATAGTTAAGGACTTTCCTCACTGTAGTGTTTAAATTACAAAAGGTCACTTTGTCCACTTTGGTATTGATTAAAAGTTTATCGATACGTACCCAGAAATGTTTACATAAGCTCTCAAGCAGCTACAATAACAATAAACAAGCGCACAATGAAAACCAGATGCCATTATATTGGATTTGCCACCTGTTCCAGTAACAGCAGGGCAGGAATCTCTTTCTGAAAAGTCATAGAGCGACTGAACGAAGTTGCCACCCTCTGGCAGCAACAGGACGGGTGGCCGAACGCGTCAGGAGGTTGTGCAGGAAGGGCTTTTTGCCAGGGGGCTGATTAGGTTGTACATTTTCCCTGTTGGCACAGAAGCGTTTCTTGAGGGTGGATGGTGGAGGAGCCTGGAGCTTCTGCACCGTGTGGTACTGCTCAGCAATGCAGGCCGCCTTCTTGCGCAGGTCCAGCTTGACCAGCATCATGTTGTTCTGCAGTTCTGCCAGGGTTTGGTCCTGATGAAGGGAAGGCAATATATATATATTTATATAAAAAATATAGATATCATAGAAAGATCTAGGTTGGTAGGGATCTTAAAGATCATCTCATTCCACTGTGGACAGGGACATCTTTTACTGGATCAGGTTGCTACAAACCCCATCCAACCTGGCCTTAAACACTTCCAGGGGTGGAGCATCCACAGCTTCTCTGGGCAACCTGTGCCAGGGCCTCAACACCCTCACAGGTAAAGAATTTTTTCCTAATATCTGATCTAAACCTCTCTGTCAGTTTGAAGCCATTCCCCCTTGTCCTGCCACTCCATGCGCTGGTAAAAAGTCCCTCTCCATCTTCCTTCTAGGCTCCCTTCAGGTACTGTGACAAGTTGTCGAACTCCCTGGTTACTGTGAACTGAGGAGGATAAACTGCCTTTTGCCAAAATTCACTCACTGTTCTACTAAATAAGGCCATGCTTCAAAGTTTCTACTGTCAACAGTAAGAAGTTCAATAACAAATAGGAATGGTAGGGCTGGGACAAAACTGACTCCATTCTGCTGCAAATATGCTGCCATAGCAACTGTGATCAAGTGGATAAGGAAATGAGAACTCCGAATTGTCCCACTTTAAGTACAGGCTGGCAGTTAACAGGAACGATTTGGGTCTCCTTTGGAGAGGTAAATGTGCAATTGAAAAATCAGCAATCTAGTTCCCTTCATGTAATAGTATGCACTAGCAAATAAGTCATTTTTATTTGCAGCATAGAACTGAGGTTACTCTAATTATGGGCAAAGCACAAAGACTAAACAACCCCCCCCCGTGCAACCCCCAACAAAACAGACACATTACCTGTTTGGCCAGAATGTCATCACACGTGCAGAGAGCTTCCCGGAGCTTCCCTGCTCCTGTGCTGTGGCAGCACGCTCGCTCTGCAGACTGGAGAGACTCCCCAATTTTTTGTAACTCTGAACGCAGCAACCTGACATTCTGAAGGAGAGAGATTCAAAACAGGTGGGTTTGGCACTGCTCTGCAAACAAAGCCACTCCAAGGTAATTCAGACATGCAGCACTGAGGGAGGATCCCATCTGCGTGAGATACGCTGGGATCACAGATACCACAACCATCAACATCTCCACTAAGTTCAACAAGCCCATTTTAACTTCAACCATCCCTTTAAAAACCTGGAAACAGCAGCCCCAAACACTGTTTATACTGGCAACCACCTTGACTTGCAAGTGTTCCTTTCTGTAACACAGAGTTGAGTTACCTTCTGTCCATCCTCCAGCTTCCTGTCTACATCCATAGTAATGGGTCTGGCAGAGGGCGGTGGCTCCACTAATTTCTGGTACCTGTGCAACTCTAGGAACAGACAAAAAGTAGTGAGAAACAGGACATTTGCCAGCTTTCAGTATTCCTGAAGTTCAGGACTTGCCTTGAGACAAGCTGCCACAGGCAAGCCAAGAAGAGCTTTGAGTTTGTACAGACCTGCACAGACATTGCAGGCTTCTCCCTTTCAGTTACACAAAGGGACTTAAGAATTTGAACAGGGAGATTATCCTGCCCTAAAGTCCATTTTCATGAAGAGAAACACTGCCCATCCAACACATAATTCCTGTTATCTACAACTCAGAATAATGGTTTCGGGGTGTCTGAATCCAATGTACCCTGAAGAAAGTCTCTCTAACCCTGTACAAGGATCTCTCAGGCACAGGTCAGAAGCAGCGCAGCATCACTGCCATACCTGCAGTCGTGGTGTGTAACTCCTTTTGACACTGCTCCAGTCTGGCTTTGGTATCTGCCAGCTCCTTCTGCACAGTAGATGAGGAGGTAGCCACTCGCTTGGATCGACGTAAGCCTTGCTCTGAGTCCTTTTCCTTAGTATCCAGACTTTCCAATTTTTCTCTGGTCTCCCGCAGAGTAGCTTGGAGCTCCAAAATCTCCTCATCACGCTCCTTAGAGAGGAAGTTTGTTCAAATATTCAACAAGATTTTCTTACCACAACTTTTCTGAAACTTTCTATGTCTTCCTGGAGACTTTGTCAATCCCACACTTCACACATTGGACCCAGCCTTTAAAGTCCATTAAGTGAACACAGTAAACCCACTTCCTGGGAGCCTAAACAACTTTTTTACAGCCTCTAAAGAAAAGGGATATTTTGGAGAGCTGGCATCTTCAGAGAGGTCTGCAACAAGTCCCAGAGGCCACTCAA